CCCCCCCCCCCCGTGAATCTGAAACCCAAAAAATGCAAATCTCGCTAAAGTGATAATTAGGTGGCCTGAGAAAGGTTGAGAGGGGTCTTGATTATCTTTCCTAGTGCATAGCCTAATAGCACTAAGCATAAAATAAAACTCAGTTTACTACATATCTATAACATACACAACTTGTGTTAACTTATTTTTCCTGTTTATAGAAAATTAAGGATAAAATATTCAGCACACTTAAGTTACTGGCTTCTGTAAATTGGTTGTGAGTTTGTTTTCTTTAAGCTTGGTAAATGGATTATGTAAATTGAATATTCTGTTTTTGTGATTCTTGGCTTTAAATACATTTAAATATTCAATAACCTTGAAATATGAGTATTAACAAAATCAATATATTCTTTGATAGTGATATCAATATGCTCTTCAATATTATAACTCTTGGGTTTATTCATCTTGTTAAGTAGCATGGATGAAATGAGTGGAGTTAGCAGTATTTCAAAGTGGGAAAAGTAGTATATAATATGTATGAATATGTAACTATAATACTATATTTTAGTGGGACTTCAGTTCTTATCCTCCAGCTAAGAGAAAGAGGAAAAGTTACTTTTTAACAAATTATATTTTTTTAAAGTACATTTGATGTATTTCTAATATGTGCTAGAGACCTGTTTTATTAAAAATAGTTGTTATATTCTATGTAAAAATATAATGGATAAGTGAAAACCATTAACTTCTGTTGATTTTTGAATCTATATGTAATCTTAAGAAAGCTTATGGATAGGAAACGTTTTATTCAAGTGGCTTAGTAGATATTGACATCATTTAAACATACTAAGCTAGAACCCAAGATAAAATCCAAGACCAGTTTACCAAAATAGTTCTTTAATGTTTACCTTTTTCATTAAAACACATAAATGATTTCTTGTTTATGAATTTTTAGTCATGTAAAATTGCCAGTTGAAGGGTGGGGAAATAGAGGTCTTAAGTTTTTCTTTTTGTTTTAACTAATTAGCTATTTCATTAGTAAAGAGTTCTATTTTCTTATTGTAGCTTGGTGTGTGCCTTGCCTAGTTTCACTTGATACTCTTCAGGAATTATGTAGAAAAGAAAAACTCACATGTAAGTCGATTGGAATCACCAAAAGGAATCTAAACAATTATGAGGTGGAATACTTGTGTGACTACAAGGTAGTAAAGGTAAGGCAAATATCTAGCCCCTTAAAAAGAGACATAATCAGACTTTAACTCATTTCATATTTCTGTAACTTAAAAAGAAACTTAAAAGTAAACAAATCTCTATTTAAAATTCTAAGCCTTCATAAATTTATATGCCCTGTTAACAATATTGCCAGATAACATTGAGAGGATTTTGAAGCATAAAATGTTCTTGCATTAGAATATTTTAAGGTGCTTGTATCCTTCTACATCCAACTCTTGATTATCTCCATGTGGTTACCAAATGTTTTAGCTCAAATTGGCTTCTCCTGTCATTCATTTTGTTCCTGAGTCATATTTCGCCACTCTAAGTGAAATGAATTTAAAAATCCAAACCAATTTTAGTGTTAACCAATCTCTTCAAGAAGCATCACAATTTGATTTCCTACCATCACATGCATCTCTGGTAGTCAGTGAGGTTCTGTGGTATAGTAAAATGGCATTAAGTTTAAAGTCATTTCTGTTTCTAATCTTTTTTTAGAATCTTGTGACTTCAGCAAAATACTTTCATTTATCTTGACCTTACTTAATTCTAGTCCTCTTAAAAATGACAGATGTTCTAAGATGCTTTTTTCAGTCTAAACCTTTAAATTACTACTATTTTTTTAGTAACCTATCCCTTTCCAGAAATTTAGTTTTAGTCATTAATCTGTCAATTCTTCCAGATAAATTAAGTAGGCTTCTTATTTAATTCTTTTCCTTCTCCATCTTCTATATTTATTCAGTCATTAACCAATTCTTTGAATTGTCCATCTTGTGGTATCACTGTTTTTCTCACTCAGTAGGATTTTATAATTAATCATTTCAGCTACCCTCAGCCCCAAAGCAGTTTAGTATAATGAGCCTGACAAGTCTAGCTTGAGAGTACCATATAATCATGCATATTGGTTCCATTAAAGCTTATCTTTATTTTCACACTGCTTAGTTCTGCTTGACAAACTTTTTATCTTTTGCTTTCTTTTCCCATTCTTAACAGAAGTTTTCCCAATTTTTTTTTCAGACTTCATGCTCTTATCCACAGTCCTCTATTATTCAGCTAAAGACCTCATTTCCTACTACTTAAGTGGAAAATAGTATGACCTCTCAACCTGTATCTTGCTCATTATCATTTTTTCCCGCTTTCTAACAACCCCATTTAGGTCTTGCCTTAATCTGTGATCTCTTTTTTGCATGTCTTTTTTCCACTGATTTTTCTCAATCAGTAATCCTATTCATATCTTCCTTAACCTTCAAAAATTATTTGATCTTGCCTCTCCTATTAGGCATTTTCTGTTTTTACCTTCCACTTCATTTCCCATTTAATTTTTAAGATAGTTTTATTGAAATATAAGTCATACATCATTATAATTCAAAAATTTAAAGTGTACAGTTCAAAACTTTTAGTATACTCAAAATTGGGGAACCATCACCATCATCAATATTAGAACATATTTATTATTGCAAAAAAAAACTCCATACCCCTTAGCTATTAGTCCCAGAACCTTACCTCTCTACCCAGCCCTCAGCAACTACTAATCTACTTTCTCTATATTCTCTGATCTAGACATCTCATATAATGGAATTATATAATATGTAGTCCTTGTTTCATTTAGCTTCGTGTTTTCAAGTATTCCATGTTGTAGCATATATCATGTAGCATGAGTAATTACTCATTCCTTTTTATTACTAAATACTCCTTTGTATGGATTGATCACATTTAATTTATCCAGTCATCATTTGGTAAGCATTCTTGTTTCTGTATGGGAGCTACTATAAAAAATGCTGCTGTGAACATTCACGTTTCAGTTTCTGGGTGGTGGACGTTTTCATTTCTCTTGAGTGATAATACGTCAAAGTTGAAATGCTGGGTTATATGGTCGTTCTATGTTTGACCATTTGCAAAACTGTCAAACTGTTGTCCATTGCAACTACAGTATTTTACATTCCCACCAGCAGTACATTTAGGCTTCACTTTCTCCACATCCTGACCACAAGAGCAGTTATCTTTTTGAGTACAGCCATTTTAAGGATTGTAGAGTGATGCTACATTGTTGTTTTGATTTATTTGCATTTCTCTAATAGCTAATTATGCTGAACATCTTATCATGTGCTTATTGGCTTTTTATATATCTTCTTTGGAGAGCTGTCCAGATTCTATGCCGATTTTTAAAATTGGGCTTTCTTTTAATTGAGTTGTCATGTTTCTTTAAATGTTACATAATCCCTTATCAATTACACAATTTGCAAAAATTTCTTCCTGTGGTTTGTCTTATTATTAACATTTAGCTTTTTAACTCGTTTTTATTTCTATCGCTTCATGGCCTTCTGATTGCCAAATTTTTTAGAGTTCAAATCTTACTCCACCTGTTTACCATGTCTAACAATGTTGGCTACCGTGTCTTCATTGAAACAGTCTATATAGAGTCCTGTGTTGGTTCAAAGTCTGGCTCTGTTTTATTCATGTTACCTTAAGTTACTTAACCTCTCTGTCCTTCAGTTTTGTCATCAATGAAATGAGGCTAGGTAAATTACTAACTCCTGGGTTATTATTAACATTAAATTAATTGATACAGATGAAATGCTTACAACAGAATGAGCTGCGATGATAATGCTAAGGTATTTACTATCTGTGTTGTTACCTCTGTCTTTACTTTCATTACCAGTTTTTCTTAACATTTTCCCCTGTATTTCCTTTATTTTCTCTCTTACCTGTCTTTCCTCAAAAATGTAGCCAAATTCCAAGGTCTGTCTTTGATCCTCTAACATTTCAGCTTGCAATTGCTCTGTGTAGATTACCTCTTTCTCAATGACCTCTACTTACATCTCTTTGGCTCAAAACACCCAGATCTTTGTGAGGTATTGACCTCTTTCTGGGCTTCATTTTTAACTGAATACTATACAGGAATTCAACATATTAAAAATTTTACCCATTTTTCTTCCTCAAATCTGCATCCTGCTCTAGTGTTCCCTATGTTAACGGAATCATACGTCTAGTTACCCAGCCTTATAGTTTCATAAATCTTTAATTCTTCCTTCTGAATCTAGTAGTTCATTAGATTCTTTTTTTTTTTTTAAGATTATTTATTTAAAGCCAGAAAGAAAAGGAAAAATACCAGATGGTTTCACTCATAGCAGGAATATAACGGACCAGGCGAGAAAATAATAAGAACAGCAGCTATATACCAGAGACATTTTATGGGGTGTAGTGGGGAATGGGATCAAAAACAGTGGGGAGAGGGAAATACACTGGACTGTGGTGATGGCATACAGGTGATTTGGTGATGGGAAGTCCACGGGGATTACAACTGAGATGAAAAAATGCACAAAATGATGTAAAAATAAACTATTATATATTTTTTAAAAGACTTATTCAGGGCCCTCCCTGGTGGCTCAGCGGGTTAAAGCACAGCACTGAGAAGCTAAATCCACTTCCACATGAGTTCGATTCCCGCCTGCCCCGGAGGAGATCCACATGGCGTGGCAAACCTCTCCTGGCCCGCCCACTGCTCCCCTCAGCAGTGTACTTCCTCGTCGATCTGCGTGTTCTGTTCCCCACTCTGTCCCTGGTGAATCCTCTCACCCTCCGCATCTCTGGCCTGTACCCCAGTTCTGTATGAATAAATAAATCTTTAAAAAAAAAAAAAAAGACTTATTCATGCTCATAGAAGTGGGGTACAGGCCAGAGGTGCAAGGGTGGTGAGAGGATTCATCAGAGACAGAGTGGAGAGCAGAACAGGCAGATTGACTGAGGTACACTGCTGAGGGGAGCAGTGGGCAACACAGGGGAAGTCTGCTATGCCGTGTGGGTCATCTCCCTGGCCAGGGATCGAACTTTTGCTACAGTGGCTATGTTTTGCTTCATAGTGCTTAGCTTTAATTTATTGTGCCACCATGGAGGGCCCTGTATTCTCTTTATTCTTTTTCATTATTCCATTTGGTTCCTTGATTTGGAGTAAGTACGCTTGCTTTATACTCATTGATCTACTTAATATCCCCATTTCTTTCCTGCCTAACACAAAGCCAGTATTATTTCAAAATAACACTTTTTTTTTCTCTTTCTCAAACACAGGGCAGGTGAAACTGACCCTGTCTTTGACTTGTTCTCCATTGTCTTTTTTGCTCAAAAAGACAATATCATATTGTATAAAAACCTTAAAATTGTTTCTAAAACACAACTCTCATTGTACCCTTTGGTTAAAACCCTGCTTTTCATGGTCCCTTTTCATGGTTCCCTGTCTAGCAGTCTAAGCTGGACCCTTTGGATTAAGGATTTTTATGATCTTGTCCCTAGAAACCTTTCCAACTTCCATCTCTTGTTACATATCCTATTTTCTATGCATATTGAAATACTTGTCAATTCTTTGATTTAGATACAATTCATTAATCTCTGTCATCAGCGAGACACTCTTGAAAGCACTGGAAACATAGCTTAAAACCAAATATAGCTCCTGTTCTACTTCCTCGAACACATATGCTCCCTGTCCCCTTTTCTCACCCAGTTCTCTCTGGAATATAGCCATGTTTCCTTCTCTCCTTCAAAAAATGTCTCTGGGCTTTCAACATTCATCTGAAAGGTTACTACCTATTGTAAAGCCTTTTTCCTTTTCCTACTTCCAGCAAAATTAATTGTTTTATGTTGGAAACTTAAAAAGCACTTTAAAAATCATTCTAGAATTGGTCACATTTTCTAGTTTTGCATCATCCATACTCTGCTAATTTGTCAATTATTTGATAGCTGGGGACTGTCTTGCTGTGCCCTTAGTGCATAACAAGTATTTAGTTAGTGGTTAATGAATTGAGTTTTTTACTTCAGGGATTCCTTTAGTACTCACAATCACTTTTAGGCTAGACTTTCATAGCTTCATACTTATATGAAAGCAGCAATATCTTTACTTAATAGTAAATAAGTAAATACCTCCTGTTTCTTCTTTCTGTGTTATCACTCAGTAAACATTTGAGTTTACTTTTTGTGTTAAGTAATATATTAGGCACTGGGAAAAAAG